CAAACTTGGTCTGCAACATGTTTCCAGCTGTCACGGCACCGAAGGGGCTGGAGAAAATCGGAACAACAAATCACATCTTAGCAGAAAACAGTGCAGGAAAAGTGGACAGAATGGAAACCCTGACTCGCTCGGCCCAGACAGTGGGATGGAAAGCAGGGGGGAGTATCCATCCAGAGGCAGATTTAAAATAAAGCCCTTGTGGAGTCAAAGCGGTGACTCTTAACCAGAGATGCACATCGAGCCCCTGCATGAGTTTTTAAACTCTATCCATCCCTTAGGCCCAACCCCACAGCGTCTGCTTCGGTAGGACTGGGGTGTGGTGGGGAGGGGGGGGAAGCTGTAATCTGTTCTTAATCTTAAATTCATTCTGATATACACACCTAGTTAAGAAATCCAGGATTACACATTATGAAATGCCGTGCAACTGGAAATGTAACTGAGATTTTAAACAAGAAAGGGAACCAAGTATTCTCAATAAATAAATCAGAAGCACTGTGAGGGAGCAGAACTGAGACACGGTTTCAGGTGCAGTGTTTGCCGGGCTGGGTTTGGGGTGCAGACGGACAAGAGGACTGAAGGACACTCACAGGGTGGACCCACCTTCCCCACTTCAGACTTTCATCCAGAAGTTTCTAGGTGTGTTCACACTGAGATCAGATCATCTGTCAGTACCTGTAATCACTTGTTTCAACTCATCCTGTTCCATTCAATGAGCCCACGTTTTTGTTTTTGTTTTTTGTTTAACTTAAGATTCGTTTATCAAAAGTTGGCTGAGGGCCCGCTATGCTCCAGGTGCTGGGGACAGCCCCTGACTTTGAGAAGCTCGCTGGCAGGCTGGAGACAGAGCAGGAAAGCAGGGAGCCGCCACACAGTGATAGAATGCGACATCAACGCAGGAAGCTGGGGAATGCAGGGGTGGCAGGGGAGGTGGGATGGCTCCACCTAGGAGACAGGGGGGTCTGAAAGGGTGAAGGGCCTTCATCAGAGAAGGGCAGGATATGTGGATGGCAGGAGGGTGTGGCTGAGCCAGGCGGGTCCGGGGAGAGGTGCCAACTATGAATAAGGGCTCAGTGCGGCCACTTGGACACTGCTTGGTGCCCGAAGCTGGTTTCTCCATGTGGTATGGTGAACAGAGACTCATCGCTGCCCTCCCACCCCAAACCCCCTTCTCCTCTTTTCTGTAAAAGAAAATTCCTCCGCCCTGATGAGGACGCTCACGTCAGTGGCCAAGCGCAGAGCGGGGACAGCCAGCTGAGACCTTCGCATCTTGCAGCGGGCAAAGGTGACATTCCACTCAGTTCCAAGGGCGGAGGTCAGGAGGTGGGATTATGGGGCCAGATTTTCACAACACGTAGCAATCACCTGGCTTCGCTCGCCAGGCATTGTCCATGACATTCTGAAAATGACAAGCTGGGTTGGTGCGGGCCTGCGGGGACTTGGGAGTCTGGGGAGAGGGTGCCCTCTGGTGGCAGCAGGCGGGCGCCGGGAAGCCAGAGACCTTCCTTGCCCTTGAGGCGCCCAGGAGCACTCATTCCTACAGCATCCAGGATCAAAGGGCCCGTCGTGCTCTGTCACAGCCCTGCAGGGCTGCCATTTCAGGAGGCAAGAGTGGGAAGAAACACGTCCCCAAAGGCAAGGGGGGCCTTTTAAACCTTTGAAAACATATTCAACAGAAAGCGCTTTGTGCTCAGGCAGAGCCAGAAAAGGCAGTTTGGAGGAAAGGTTTCTTTTGTTCCTCTCCCCTGGGAAAGGTCAGATTTTTCTTCTCAAACCACCAGGATCAAGAGGCATGCAGGAGGACCTAAAGGAGGCCCTGGCTGAGGGTCCGTAGTTTTTAACCTGTTCCCACGTAGGTGTGGCATCTCCAAAAGGGTTAAGAGCCTCAAGGGGTCCCTCCTGAAGTTCCATGGAAACTACGTTCAGAGGTGGACCCCTTGACGCATGAGAGGTCCCCAAAGTCTGTTATTAATAATCCAAATGTCCACTGACAGGGGAAGAGAGGAAGAAGAGGCTCGGTAGCTTAGGGGCACTTTCTTTTTTCTTTTCTTTCTTATATGCAGTTTATATTATTTGATTTTGAGGCATTACTTTTGGAAGTCATAGAAAAAAATGTACTATCTTAAGTGACGGGTTGCTAACAATTAATCACAAACTCAGGCAAGTGGTCAGGTTTCTGGTAACTCACAGGCCGTCCGCAGGGAGGTTGACTTGTGGCTGTAAATAAGCTTCAGCGCTGTTGGGATATTTCACCATGTGCATACACGCATTACAAACAGTTGTCGTTTTTTTAAAACAGGGCAACTTGACTTTGTGGTTAGTCTAAGACAATTTACTGAGTTTCGGGCATTGCGCTAAGCTCTGAAGACACAGAAACGATGGTCTCTGCCTTCCGGGAATTTATGGTCTAATTCAATGCTTCTCAAACCTGACTGTGCTTCCCAATCGCCTGGAAATGTGTGATTGTCATCTACTGCTGTGTAACAAATAAGCCTCAAACTCTGCAGCTGAAAACCACACACGATTATTATCTAACATGGTTGCTGAGATTCAGGGATTCAGGAGTGACTTAGCTGGGTGGTTCCGGCTCTGGGTCTCCTCACGAGGCTGAAGTCAAGATCTTGGCTGCTGTCATCCAAAGGCTTGACTGGGGCTGATGGATTCACTTCCAAGATGTCGCACAAACATGGCAGTTGCCCAGGGGCCTCAGTTCTTGGCCATGTGACCCTCTCTACAGATGAACTGCTGAGTGTGCTCACCACATGGCAGCTGGCTTCCCACCCCAACTAAGTGATCCTGGAGAGAAAGATGCAAGCTGCAATGTCTTTTGTGACCCAGAAGCCTTGGAAGTCACACTCCACCATTTCCACTACATTCTGTTTGTTAGAAACAAGTCACTAAGTACAGTACAGCCCACACTCGAGGCAAGGAGAATTAGGTTCCACTGAACAGAGGAGTACCAAAGAATTTGTGGACGTACTTTAAAACCACCACATCTTGTTAAAATGCATACTGTGATTTAGTAGGTCTGGGGAGGAGCCCGAAGTTCTGTATTTCCACATGCTCCCAGGTGCTCCCACTGCTGTTGGTCCCTGGCCACACTGAGAGGGAATCAAACACATACAAAGAACAATAGCTCTGATCACGTCTTTGGAGCTGTACTGCTTGCAAGAATAACATCCTTTGTCATCCTGGCATCATCCTTGGGTGGTGTCCAATTTTAAAATCACATTTCCCCTGAAAGGTCAGAGCCGTAAAGTAAGGGGCAGACAAGATTACCTTGTTAATACACGAGGACAAGCTGTAATGAAATAAAAAACAATCAGAGGAGGGCCTCAGAAAATCTCTCTGGTCTTGTTCTGGAAGCTCTCGGAAGCACAAGACATCAGCCCTCGATTCCCAAAGGGACGCTAAACAAACAGCAGCAACTCTGAGCTTCTCATCAGGATCGTACCAAGGCCTTCATATGCCTCTGACTCCAGGCTGCAATGCTTACAAAAGCAGCTTCTAGATGCTCAAATAGCTTGAAGGGGAGTCCATCAGAGAAAGCGTTTCCCCATTCAACAGCCTGGATAGAAATTTGCTTTCAAAGACAGCCTAAAACTCTTAAGTCCTGGATCGCTTTATTGCTAGGACTCACATACCATAAGCTTCACCTCTTTGAAGTGTACGATTCAGTGGTTCTTAGTGTATTCACAAGGTTGTGCAATCATCACCATCTAATTCCAGAACATTCATCACCACAAAAAGAAACCCCATGTCCATGAGAAGCTATTCCCCTTTCTCCCCATCGTTGGCAGCCCCAGGCAACCAGGTCTATTTTCTGTGTCTGTGGGTTTGCCTGTTCTGGACATCTCATATAAATGGAACCATGCAATATGTGGCCTTTTGTGTCTGGCTTCCTTCACTGTAGCATAATAATTATTATTATTATTGTGGTAAAATACATGGAACATAAAATTTACCATCTTAACCATTTTTATGTGTAGCGTTCAGTGGCATTACGGACACTGTTGTGTGACCATCACCACCATCCACCTCCATAACTATTTTCATCTTTCCAGACTGAAACTTGGTACCCAAGCACCATGGTTTTTAAGGTCCATTCATATTGTAGCAGGTGTCAGAACTTCATTCCTTTTATGGCTGAATAATATTCCAGTGTATGGACAGACCACATTTTGGTTATCTATTCATCAGCTAATAGACGTTTCGGTCCTTTCTACTTTTTGGCTATTATGGGTAATGTTGCTACGAATATTCATGTACGAGTATCTGTTTGAACATACGTTTTTCATTCCTTTTGGGTTTATACGTTGAAGAGGAGTTGTTGTGTCATACCATTAATTCTATGACCATCATTTCTGTTTAACTGTCTGAGGAACTGCCAGACCATTTTCCAAAAGGGGCTCCAACATTTTACAATCCTAGCAGTGGTGTGTGAGAATTCCACTTTCTCCACATCCTCACCAACATTTATTATTTTCTTTTTGATTGTCTTTTTGATGATAGCCAGCCTAGTGGGTGGGAAGTGGTATCTCATTGTGTTTTCTCTAATGGCTAATGATGTTCAGCACCTTTTCATGTGCTTATTGGCAATTTGCATGTCTTCTTTGGAGCCATGTCTATGCAAATCCTTTGCCTGGTTTTAATTGGGCTATTTGTCTTACAGTTGAGTTGTAAGAGTTCTTTACATATTCTAGGTACAAATCCCTTATCAGATATATGATTTGCAAATATTTTCTCCCATTCTGTGAGTTATCTTTCACTCTTGACATGTCGTGTCCTTCAAAGCACAAAAGTTTTTATTTTGACCAAGTCCAATTTATTTTCTTTTATTGTATGTGCTTTTGGTGTCATATCTAAGAAACTGTTGCCTAATTCAAGGTCGCATAGATTTACCCCTATATTTTCGTCTAAGAGCTTTAGAGTTTTAGCATTAACATTTAGATTCTTAGTCCATTTTGAGTTAATTTTTGTATGTGCTGTGAAGTAAGGGTCTAAACTGATTCTTTTGTGTGGATAGCCAGTCTGTATTTCTTTTTTTTTTTTTTTAATCATCAGCAGAAAGTATAAAGAATGGCCTTCCTTTGGTTTCCTGGTAGCATCTTTTCTTTCTTTTCACCCCTGGCTGCAAGATTTTGAGTTTTGTTTTTTTTGTTTGTTTGTTTGTTTGTTTAATTTATTTTTTTTAAGATTTTTATTGGGGAATTGGGGGGATGGGAACAGTGCTGGGGAATTGGGGGAAGGGGAACAGACAAGTTGCTGTCCTTTTGTTCTTCAGTCTAGTTGTGGAGGATGCTGCTTCACTGGCCCAAGTTGGCACCATCATTGCACTCTTCCCGGACGAGGCAGATCAGTCGCCGGCTTCTGGACGGCCGCTTACTGCGGCTGCTGGCCGCTCACGCTGGCTGCTGGCTACACACGGTAGCCCATGGCAACCCACTGCCACAGGGACTGCAGCCCATGCCTTCGCCGGCGACTTACAGCAGCCCAGCTCCAGGTTGAGCTGTTGTTCAGCATCTTAGCTGTGGAGGGCAGTGTCACTGGCCCTCATATGTGGGATCCGAACCAGGGCCCTCTGGCATCCCAAGCGAGTTCTTAACCATCACACCACTCAGCCGGCCCAAGATTTTGAGTTTTATGGTAAAACAATTTGTACAGACCAGGGACCCAGGGGCCCAGCATGGCTTGGTGGCATCCTCACAATCAACATCCGCTGAATTTTGCTGAGCAGCACACAGGAGTAGTCCCGAATTACTAGTTATGTGGAAATGATTTCTGACAAGGGAGCACTCTTTCTTCATTCATTCCCATCAATAACTATGTTTTGAGCACCTATTATGTGTCAGTAATTAAAACAAGGATTCCTGCCCGGCAGAGCTTATTACATTCTTGCAGGGAGAAACACACAAGAAATGAAACACATCGGTACATTATATAATATGCTAGAAGGTGCTAAGTATGATGGAGGGAAATAGTGCAGAGTGGAGCAGGGGGTGGGGTTTGCAGTTGTGAAAAAGGCGGTCAGGGTGGCCTCCTTGGAAAGGTGACGTTTGAGCAAAACCTTAGGAGTTGCTGAGGGACTTGACCATGTGGCTATCTGGGAAAGAACATTCCGGGGGAGGGCAGCCACTGCAAAGACCATACGCAGGAGTGGGCCTGCAGGCTGGAGCAGAGGGAGGACAGGGAACAGGATCACATAGGGTCTTGTAAACCATTTTACAGACTTTGACATTCAGGCTGAGAAAACTGGGAAAAGCCACTGGGAGGTTCTGAGCTGAGAATGACATGGTCTGGCTTACGGGTGGAAGGATCACCCTGCCTGCTGGGTGGAGAATGGACTGTGGGAGAACAAAGGTAAGGCAGGAAGGAGAGTTAGGAGGCCTCTCACATAATGCAGGTGCGAGCGGAGGGTGGCTGGTCCCTGAGTGGCAGCAGTGCAGGCAGTGGAAAGGGTTTGGCGAAGCCCACAGGATGGCCGGGTCAACTGGATGGGAGTGTGATGGAGGCAGGCATCCAAGGTGACGCCAGAGACTCCGGCCTGAGAACCACAGGACAGAACTGCCATTCATTGTGATGGGGAAAGCCACTGGGGAAGCAGAGAGGGGACGCGAGTTCAGCGTGGGGCCGGCGGTGCTTCAGATTCTCTTCGGCTTCCAAGAGGAGAGGTTGGGTAGGAAGTGGGATCTTTGAAAATGAGAAATCTGGGGTGGAGATACACATGTGAAGGAATCAGCCCCACGATGGGATGAAACAGCAAGAAAAGATGATGGGCAGGTAGGGCCAAGGACCTCGGCCTGGAACCCGGCGCAGCCAGAGACTGAGAGGAGAGGCAGAAGGGCCCAGGACTCCACAGCAGTTCTGCAGCTGCTTAAACACGCTGCTCCTTCCCTCCCCTTCTCCTTTCTGCTCCTTTCCTTTGCCTTCTCCTTCCCTCCTCATCTCCCTTCCTTTAAATGGGCACCTACATTGTACCAAGAACTGGAAAAGATGTTTTGCCCTCAAGAAACTCATGGTCTTACACGGAAAGACACACAGTGTGCACGTATAAAATAACAGACACAAGGCAGTAGCTGCATAGGAAGGAACTCAGCTTTTCACCAACTCCACTCAATCACACCCCAGATGACTGTGTGTAACTCAAATGGTCTTTAACCATCCTCTCCCAGGTTTAATTTACTGCAGTTATCATCGTAAGACTGATTTACTTGAGCACATAAAATTAAACTCACTCTTGGTTTAAGAAAAGAGAGGACTAATCCAAACTATGGCAGCGCCCACTGTCCTTCAAAACTGGACCCCACTGAGGCAGGTCACCCCCCCGCCATGCAGAGCTGATGAAACCCGGGGCACTGGTGGACAGCACACAGCCTTCATGACACGTTCTTCACCACAAGACGCTTACTGTGCAAGCTGGGGCCAAGGGGGTCCCAGTCCAGACTCACACTAGAATCACCTGGAAACCACTGGAAGCCATTCTAAACCAGTATCTTTGATTTACGATCTCACAGTTTTTAAAAAGCTCCTCAGGACATTCTAAGGTGCGGTCAGAGAGAAGAACCACGGACCAAGGTTGTCATAAATTATGGGGAAATTTGCAAATCACAAAAGATTTCTACAAAGTATGTAAATTTTAGACCATGTTGGTCCATTCTTTTGGAAACAGACCTAAAGAAAATGATCATAATGCAACTTCGCAAATAATCCACAACTTAGTATATTCTCTGGTGGAAGTAACCTGTCCTCAATCCACAATTCAAAACAGAAACAATGGCAGTCTTCCACTTACTTGATAAACTTGGCAGTCTTGCTTTGTCAATATTAAACACCCCTGTGCTTTAACTTACCTTCTGTTACCAGTAAACTCTAATAGTTTTCTCTTAGATTCCTGTTACTTTCCTAATGATTCATCCTTGATGTTTTAGGAAAAAATTAGCTACCGACCAAACAAGGACCAACTTCGTTTGCTATAATGTGAATACACCTGGTGCACTGTCAGCCTTACGACTTAAAACAGCACAGAAAAAATATGGCGAGTTTTATTAATAAAAAAACTCTTGTAGCTTATTAAAATTCACGTAACAATAACGTAACCTCAGAACCGGCCTAACCTGGCCTCGTCCTGTTTCTAACGAGTTGCCAAGTTGTTTTTGAGAGATAAGAAAACAAGGCCGCAGATCACGCCATCTGATAGTTGGACAGACACTAGAGAAAAGCACTCGCCCTATAATAACCTTTCAACATCAACGGCTCAAAATCAACTACGGACTACACGCACCACCCCCGAATTCAAACATGCGATGCATGAAAAGCTCAGATTTTCAAACACCTTCAAAGTAGGCTCTCATTATGCTGAATCAGTGGAACTCCACAGAACATGCACAGTATCCCCCGCTGCTTCCTTTACATGGAGCCCAAAAACCCTGGGTCGTGGAGACAGGTATGGGCTTGCCTCCTATCTCACTGCCGGTGGACCTCGCAATAAAGCCTCTTCTTTTCTCGAAAGCCCGAGGTCCTCGTGTTGGCTTCTACGCATGCGCATCAGGCACCAAGCCTTTGCTCTGTCACAACTGAACATTTTCTTTTCTGCCAATGTCACCTGTTAAATTACTATCATCTTTTATAGACAGGGAAAAGTGGACATACCTTAAAATCTTTCTGATAAATATATCGCGGCGCTGCATCCAGCCTGGATAACCCTCTTCAAAATGGCATACGCTGGAGCCTGTTAGCAATGAGCAAACAAAAGAAACACGATCTATGTTCACTGTCAGTTGTGAGATACAGGCCTGGCATGGCACGGCTGGGACTTCTCTGGGTAGGAAATAAGAGCTAAGAAACAATTCATTTTAAATTTGGGGGGAAAAAAGAAATCTATTCAAAACATGAGAATGCCTCCGCTACTGCCAGAGCGCTGAGCTGTCTGGTTTCTCCCCAGATGGGAAACGGAACCGCTAGGGAAGAGGATGAGGGAGGGAGCAAGAAACGAGATTCCCGACTGGGAGCAATGCGTTTGCAGGCTTTCCGCCAAAGCCGTGCCCTGCTGTCTTTGGCGGTCATGTGGAAATCAATTGTTCTGGGAAGAGGAGCCTTCCTGCCCCTCCACCTTCCAAAGAAGATGCCCAGAGCACCACACGCGAACAGTGAAGGGAGGGCTCACCAGTTCTGCATCGTGTTCAAGGCCTGTGTCATGGTGCTCGAGCTCTTCATCCCGAAACTTCCTTATCACCTTGTTAAAGAAATATAAGCAAGTCAGCACCCCAACTCTCCTGCTGTCCTGGCTTTCTTGGAGGCTAAAGCCTTCTATGATTGTCTAAGACAGCGGCAGGCAAACTTGGATGCTATGGAGTCCCCATCGCAGCTACTCGACTATGCCGCTGTAGAGGTGCAGCAGCCACGGACATGTTAATGTGTCGGTGTGACTGTGTCCCCACAAAACTTTATTGACAGAAACAAGTAGTGGCCACAGGCCACGGTTTACCAACCCGATTTAAAAAATGAACCAGTTTCCTGATCTGCCGTGGAAGCTTAAATGAAGGTATCTTAGTTCATGTATTTGATCTGGGTTCGTGCTCGCAGCATTTGCTCAGATCTACCAAAAACCCTGAAGTGGAGGGAATACAGGCCCAGGCTCAGGACACACGGGTTCTAGTCCCAGCTCTGCCCGAGCGTGTGACCAGGGCATGTGGCGTCAGCTCTCTGTGCCTCAGCGCGCTTGTCTACACTTCTAAGGTGCTTCACATTCTGCTTTTCTCGTCTTACCAACTGCTGTCTGCCCGGTGCCCTTCACCAGCCCCTCCCCACAGGGCAGCCACACACCTGAAGCAGCTCCTCGTACTTCTCGGGGTCCTCCTCCATCAGTGTCCTGATCTGGTTGTTGTAGTGATGTGCGATAGATTCCTCCACGGCCACGGTGCAAGCCATCGCTCCCTCCTTCCCAAGCAGGGCGGTTCCCGCGCCTGGAATGGTCAAACCCGAACAGTAGAGGATGGGACTGATACACGCGTAAGGGACCAGGGCCTGTCAACCTGGCACTGGGAACTTTGGGCTGAACCAAGCCTTGCTGTGGGGGCCACCATGTTTAGCAGCATCCCTGGCTTCTATCCACCAGAGGCTGGTGGCATCCCTAGACGGGACACCAAAAAGGTCTCTAGATTTTGCCAAGTATCCTCGGGGGCAGCTTGCCCACGTTGAAACCACTGTCCTAGGTGGTACCAGGTCACAGTGTGAAACCTTGAATCACACAGTGAGAATGCTCTTCTCTTTTCAAAGCCTTCTGATTACACAAGGAGAAAGTCATCGTTTGGGGCATGTCTCTGATTCTCCTGTACCATTTACTCTCTCCCTCTTTAAAAGTGAGCAGAAGGGCCGGCCGAGTGGCTCAGTTGGTTAAGAGCTCGCTCAAGGGTGCAAGCTCTGAGCAACAACAGTTCGAGTCCCGGCCAGAGCTGAGCTGCCAACAGGTGGCAGGATGGCTCAGCTAAAAAAAAAAAAAAAAAAAAGACCAGAGCTCAGGTTTAGAACCTTTATCAGGGCACATTATCAGGCTACAATTGAATTACTCTAACTTCCCCCTCCCCCCGTTAATTATTATTACTGTACCTTCTATTTATAAAACTATGATTTTAAGATACTAACTTAAACAAATTTAAGTGAAAAAAATAAGTCAACTTAACTTTAGAAAAATATTAAGCAAGAACTGTGAAGTGAAACCTAAATGATTTAATCATCCCAGACCCCTCAGCCCCCATAAGCTCTTCTGGACAGACACACACCCAGTGCAAACCCCACCACGTTCCAAAAGGGCATCAGAACCGTCGGCCGGACCCTGAATGTAACCATCAACTCATTGAACTTTTTCAAGTGATCCTTTTCTTGATCCCACATTTTCTGTAAGAAACATAACAATGAAGATATGTCAGCATTCTATAGAGGCCGCCTGCTATACCCCAAGGAAGCTACATGCCCTGTCCATGAACCATGGCTCTGGCCAAAGCCCCTCAGACCCACGACAAACCTATTCAAGGATGGGTCCACACCCCTGGGAATGAGATGTTTAGCTCATTTCCAAATCAGGAGGGCAGAATTAGCTATTGTGTAGCTTAGCTGTTAGCTATTATTAGCTATCGTGGAGTTTCCTTCCAGATAGCTGGCATGTAGGTATCATTTACCACAAAGGAGAAAGGAGGGATGATAGGAACAGCTAACAAAGGCACTCCAGTGCCAGGCACTCTCAAAGAGCTTCATGTGGGCAGCTTATTTAGGCTGCACAACTGCTCTGTGAAGGACAAACTATCATTATCCCCATTATACAGATAAAGCAAGCGAGGTACAGAGAGGTTAAGCAACTTTTCCTAGGACTCAGAGCAGGCAATTTAACTTGTGCAAGTGTCTGTTACATGCCAGGCATGGTATTAGCTGTTCTATAGCAGCTCATTTATTCCTCACCAAAACCCAATGAGGTAGGTGTTATCAGCCCATGTTGCAGATATGGAAATGGAGACCCAGAGGTCATGTGACTTCCCCAAGGTCACACAGGTAGGAGGTGGGAAGAGCTGGAATGTGAAACCAGGTCAGTGTGACTGCAAAGCCCAGGCCCCTCCCTCTGTGTCTCAGTATAAAATATCTCCACTGGGGGCAGGACCACAGCCTCTCAGCAACTGCTACTTTCATCTAACGTGGTGCTTCTCAACCCCTTTTTCATTATCATCTGCCCCCATCACGAAACTTTAAGACTACAGATATACCGTGTATCTGTTTATGTACTACATGTCCATCTGTGCTCCATACTTAAAAAAAATATGCTGCCCCCTCCCCAATATCCAATTTTCACTCTCTTGGGGACAACAGCATGTCCCTTGAGAATACAAGACCTAATGTGACACATTACCTGAAGGCCTTTGGAGCCTCCCCCGTCCCCTCCCCATTCAGCAGACCAGGCTGAGAGAGAAAGCAGCACCCACCTGAATGACTGGCCCGACACTTGTCCGCCCCAGGACAGCCATCTGCCCTGCATAGATGCGGTTCGCTCCATATTCCCCTGCGTGATCCACCCGGAGTATTCGGTGCACCGCTGCCCGATTGATATCATCTGAGATCATTCCTGAACTGCAAAACCTGACACTGATCCTTCTTCCATAACCTGCAATGCAAGCGTTTGTAAAATTGAGATGTTTCTTTTTACACACGGAAGAAAGGACACCTTAAAACAAAGGGCACAAATGAGTTCCCTGCAGGTCCATATATGCCCATCAGCGTCTTGTTTAGCCTGCAGTGTTTTTTTAAAAAAGTGAATTAGTCACCAACACTTAAAACAGAAGATTTTTAGCTAAAGATCTGGATTTCTGGCTTCACTTGAAGAGTATGAGGATCTGGAAATTCTAAGCCTGTCTTCTCTCCAGGCAGTTTAATGTGGCAAACTGTCTCTAGATGGGCGTGGTTCTCAAGGTCACCCACCCACTCCTGGCCCACTTCGTTCCCAAGCCTGCCGCACAGAACCTCCGAGGGAGCTTTCAAAACTACGGATGCTCCTCCCCAGCCGATCTCTGGGAGGGGGGCACTGATGTTTTTAAAAAGCTCTGTGCAAGAGTCTTCTCTGCAGCCAAGGCAGGCTGAGAACCATAGATTTACATTCTCTTCAAATGCCCGCACCCAGGGGCATCTGATGTTGAGAACTGAGCCTCAGAACTCAGGTTTCACCTCATTGTGGTGCATCACCTAGCTCTTGGTACTCAAGATTTACACTGATACTTCAACCGAACTCTTCTCACCTTCACAATGTAAATTCTTTAGGACAGACTTGATATTGTCTTTCAAAATCTTCTAATATAACAGTAACAACTTGATTTATTCTCTGAGCCTTGTATGAGGGCGTCCCAAAAGTTTTTTCCCCTAAGAGAAGGTTTTTAATAGTGTGTTTAGTTAGAAGGTTAATAATAAGGTGTTATCACCCCATTTTGCAGATACGGAAATGGAGACCCAGACAGACCATTCAGTTTGTAATGTGAACTCTGACCTGTGCTGCTACCACCTTGAGGTATGTTCCAAGGCTCTTATGTGTGACTAGTATGTCTTTCATAGATACTGCTTTTCATTTAAGCTAACTTCAACACCCAGAATTTCATTTCGGGCACATCTGCAATTTTTTCATTTAAGACTTGAGTGTTTTGGACACTACCCCCTTGGGTAGGCCTGGTGGAATGTGGGGTGGTTCTGCATTTGAACTTTTGGTCACGTGGGGTTTTAAATGCCTCACTCGAAACAACAGAGCGTGGACATGACATGGGGGTCTGAAGCATTGTGACCCAGCTTTTGCACAACCTGCTCCATCCTACTGAGTCTATATGACTCAAGAAACTGGATGGAGTCCAAGAACTAGACACCAAGAACTAGATGGAGTCCAACTTCTGCCAAGTGTAACGTACTGCTCAGTTCTGTGCCTTTAGATAATGGGTCACTCTGGTCCGTGGCCATATTTTTATGCGGAGAACTTGAGACATTTGACAAAGTCAAGGTAACCTGTTCTAAGTTTTTGCCTCCAAGTTCAAGGACTGCTGCTTCCATCAATCTGACCTCCTTACAGAAAACGGGGCTCAGGAATTGAAATTGAAAATGATGAGCTAGCTCTCTTTCTCGAAATAATCTCATCTCCTTGTTCTTTCATTTGATACTCCCATTCAAACGCATGTTAATGGGAAAGCATTTTAAAGACAACCCAGTACTCACCTTTAAAAAATCATTTACTGAAAATTAGCAAGGGGCTGAGTCCATAGGACGAGTTCAATCACGCAGCAGACTTCTGATGGATAGGATTCTATTTATATTAAATACACACCAGACTGTTCCCTAGCACTGCACCAGCGTTCCAGATTCAGGCACCTAATAAAGGATTTGGGGTGGTATGTGAAGGATTGGGTATTGTAACATTTGTCATTCCTATCTTTTCACAATCTCTGCAAGGTGTCTTTAATAAGTATGAATGGACCATCGAAAAGGCAGAGCGAGCGTCAGAATATACGTCTTCTGTCTCAAACACTAACCTCAGACACATCACAATCGCCATTTCTTACACATAAAACCGGTAATAACCAGGTCATTTCCTTTGTAGTGGAAAACATACACTAAAACTTCTCTTGCCGAGTTATGAAGATAAAATGGGATACAAGAATCAAAGTAACCTTACAAATGGAAACGAATGATTCTTGTAATGCTCACTGGCTCAATAAAGGAGCATTAAAATTCATGTTCAACAATCCTCTGAGCTTTGCCTGCATTGCCACACGCTTTTAAATAAATTCGAGAAAATAAAAATAAACTTGAAGCTCAGTGCCAGAAGCACTCGAATGCATCATTTTGTATTTGTGTTTTCCCAAAGTGTGAAAGACATTTCAGTAGTGATACCTGGGAGATTTTAAATGGTATATGGGACGGTTTTATGGGACTTATGAACTTGCATTACAAAACACCCATGGAGTAAGAGTTGTTCTTTTTAAAATTCTCTTCAGATCCCTTTGATTTCATCAAGGAGACTGCCTCAGCTTACAACTGACATAACTTGAACACTTCCTATCACTTGCTAATCTCCTTTTTACCAGAAAGAGATAGTCTGGGGGCTCAAACCTCGCTAGACAACAGTATATAATACAATTTAATAGCTTTTTGTTTTCAGCATACTTATTTTTTATGATTCTTCTATTTGGGGCAGGCGATACTGGTCATCAGATTACCATAAGGATTTAGTTTCCCTCAAATTATTTAATTTAAAAATGGAACAGAGTTCTCGGGGGAAAAAAAACATTTAATAATAAAAAATACACGTGGTATTCCTATGAGGCAACATTCTGAGGATGCTACACGAACGAGTTAATTTTGAGAAAACGACCTCACAATTTTCCGAGGCAGCTCACGTGAAATAAGGAGCCAGGATCCAAACCCAAGTCTCCCTACTCCAAATTCGATGGCTCCTTTCACTACCCTGTTGCTTCTTCAACTTTCTAACGCATACGAAATCATTTCAAGGGCTTGTTAAAATACGACTGATTCTGTGACCCAGGGCGTCAGGGCCGGGACCTGAAAATCTGCATTTCTAGCAAACTCGGGGGTGGGAACGGGGGTAAGCAGGCGCTGCTGGTCGCGTGACGACGCTTTGCCTGGCAAAGCCCTGAGGGGTAGCAGCCAAGACACCCCCGGGACACTGAACTTTCAAGGTCGCCACCTGTCTCCAGCCCGGAGAGCCGACCACACCTGTAGTGACGTCACGGCACAGGTGTGCACTTCCCCAGCGCGCCAACCCTGAGGAGCCGCCTCAGAGCGTCACCGCTGAAAACCACCCCCTTCTCGCCCCGCATTCCCGCCGCTCACGGCAGGCCTCATCAGGGTTTCGTCTCGCTGTCGCCGCCCTGTGACGTACTTGTACGTCCCCCGCCCCCCGTGACCTCTCCGACCCAAAACCCAGACGAAAATTCCCTGGCTTGCCGACCCCAAAGAGGGTGGCAGCCGCGCTCCCCCTTTACCTGAGAGGGGCCGTGGGGCGCTCGTACGCAGCCGCCACAGGGAGCAAGACGCCACAGCCCCAGCGCAGCCCATTGCGACAACCACTCCTTTGAGCGAAGCGCGCCAAACGTACCCTTGGCACAGACTGATGACGCAAGACAGACGTAAAGAAGACGCTGCCCGTACTTGCGTTGATGGAAACGCCCCTAGGCCCTGCTTCCATTCGATTGGTTGGGAGCGGCAAATGAAAAGATTCTATTGGATGCCGTCACTATCAATCAGTCAGAAGTTCGACAGCGTGACGGAGCCTTGGGTTGCCATGGAGATGAGAATGCTAAATTGTTCTTTCAGAGAGATACGGTAAAGATTTCTCACCTAAATTTCTGGGAAAACAGACCATGAGGGAATTACTTATTGGCATAATCATCGTACTTTCTGCTTTATCAACATGGAAGATTTTTCTCTATTTGTATCCTACATCCACTTTAAAATAGTAAAAATTACATGCTAGAATTAAATTCACCACATGGCAAATAGTGTTTTCTCTAGGTGTTGAAGCTCACAGACGACTTAAAATTCCTTCCTATTCCTTTTGTCTATTTTTCAGGTTTCCTACAGAGAACATATGTCATTATTTTTGTGTCCACTTTACTATTAGTGTGGGCTTATATTAGTGCAAATTGGTTTCTTGGAGAATGGGGTGAGGAGGGGAGATTTAGCAACATAGACCATCCTTTTAAAAGTGCATAGCCAATGTGTTAATGTAGGTTCATCAGTTGTAACAAAGGTACCACTCTGAAGGGGGAGGCTGACAACGGGGGAGGCTGCGTATGTGTGGGGACCTGGGGGAATATGGGAAATCTTTGTACCCTCCTCTCGATTTTGCTGTGAATCTAAAACTGCTCTAAAAATGAAGTCATAAGAGAAACTTTTTGTTGGAAATGTTTTAAAAATGCATATCCACTGATATAGCAACCCTGCTTCTGGGGATCAAAGCAACAGAAATAATTTTTCGAATGTATAAAGTATGTATGTGAGGGCAAAAAATAAAAAATGTGTAGCTGGAAGGTTTACTATAGGTAACTTCAGAGAGGTGGGATTGTGAGAAGGGGGCTTTCGTTTTCTATTTTACACCTTTGGATTGTAATTAAACACTTCTTTCTTCTCTCTGATTCTAGGGAACGGCCAAGAGCAACTTCACAAACTGTTAGAGTTTTCCCTGATTACTTATTTGCTGACAAGGGACCTCCGTGGATTCAAATACACAAAACCACACTAAAAAACGTTCAAGACTGTTTAATCAGTAGTTTTAATGCACATTGGTTAGTGAGAGCTGCACTTAAACAATTATACAGACATCACTTGAAGTTATTCAAGTTATCAAAATATGTAAAAACATTCAAGTAGAAGGTATGCAAATTAGCAGTATTTAACTGCTAATTACCATTAATTACATTATTAAATACATTAGCATATTTCAGTATCAGTTTTATAATGGGGAAAGAAAACAGAGTTTCTATCACTCACACACACACACACACACACACACACACAGAAAACCTGATTGTCCTCAGAAGCATGAAGGCGAGAACATTATATAAATACACCAGGCAGACATGACAACAATTAGAATTTTTAAAAAGTGAGGGTGGAATGAACTTTTATTTTCTCAAAATTCCATGATGCTAGTTATTAGACTGATAAAGTCACAACCCTTGAGCATCACAACCGGATGGTCAGATGGAGCTCAAGGCCATAAGCAGAGATACCAGCCCAGTGAACCTGCTGTCTTCCCCCATCGGATTGTGGTGCTGTTAGCCATTGGCATGTTCTTCATCACCTGGTGGTTTATGAGATCACCTCTACCAAGTTCACTCAGGACATTTACAAAGAGCTCCTCATTTTCTTGGTGGCCTCGCTCTTCATAGGCTTTGGGGTCCTCTTCTTGCTGCTCTGTGTCAGCATCTACATATGAGATCCCCAGGATAGCTTCATCGAATCCTGCCTTTTATAAATTATTATTATTTTTTTAGCTCTTTCTGAAAGTGTCCCACCTGCTGCTCACAAGAAAGGCAGATGTATGACCAACAAAAAAGTCATAAACCTTAACAAGACAGAAAAAGCTTGAAAAGCTTACTGGTCTCAAAGGTACAAAAATATCCCGTTAATGCTAACTTTGTGGAAGAAAATGATCTGGCAAAGGGACAAGTATACAGACATGTGTAAGCTATGGTAAGCTTGCTTTGCACCTCAGACAAAAGAGCCAATCATTTTTCAGTAATGGGGGATGGTGGGGGTAGGCAATGTTCTTAACAGCAGCACTTTCTAAAACCTGCACCCAGCGTGAAATTTCAGGGCACCCCCAGGAGAGGTTTAGAGCCAGTGAAAAGAAGGAAGCCTCCCATGGTCCGTTACAAAACTCAAGTACTTTGGAAACGATTCTGAAGTACTTAGAAACGATTCTGAAGACATAAAAATGAACGCTGACTACATTAAACAGTAACTTAGGCTCACATTAAAAAGTTCAGAGCTATGGATTTCAGTAAGCTTATGATGAGGTATTTATTGCATACAGTTTTTACTGTAATGGAAATCTTGAGATTGCATGTTTTATAACATAACATAAAGTCATGTGCATTTAAAATATTAAGCACAAGAAAACCAACAGTAACCTTTAAAATATGGATATGTGTATTTAAGAAACCAATATTTAATCTAGTTTGGTCCACTGGGACAGGCAGGCCAGCAACACACATCCCCAAAACCGTTACGCACAGAAACCCACGACTCAAATAAATACTTCACATCCCTGTCCGGCCTGGCTCTGAAATGAGTGTCCTTCAGAAATCAAGACCTCAGTGCAGGAAAGAAACTGGCATTTGGAAGAGTGAGACACAAATTTTGTCTCTTCATGTTGATGGCACAGGACTTTCTGCCAAGTCTCTGAAATCAGCCCTGGAAGGGAACTGAAGGCTTGTGACTATCCAGCCCCTTGAAGGCAGCTTTCCCCTGAGTAATACGGCGGCAGCGAAATGCCCCAGGAGTTGACTAATCAATGCTGCCACCCTGTAACAATCCTTCTCCTCAGAAGGCTTTCTCTAGGCCAGCGGTTCTCAACCTTCCTAATGCCGCGACCCCTTAATACAGTTCCTCATGTTGTGGTGACCCCCAACCATAAAATTATTTTCGTTGCTACTCTATAACTGTAATTTTGCTACAGTTCTGAATCGTAATGTAAATATCTTTTTTGTTTTCCGATGGTCTTAGGCAACCCCTGTGAAAGGGTCGTTCGACCCCCAAAGGGGTCGCGACCCACAGGTTGAGAACCGCTGTCTAGGCCATTCAGACTTACACAGCAGGAATGGTTTTTCTCTCTCTCATTACCATCAAGTCGCTGACCTTACATAACCATCCTCCTCCACATTTCCACTGTCGGTTCCAGAAATCACGTCTCAAGGCTTTCTCTTCATAAAAATAAAAAATGGAAAACATTTTAAAAATCAGATCTCATTTTAAGTGTACAGAACGGTTGAAAGGGTCACTACTACTTCTTCAGGAACACTTCTGAGCCTACAGCCCTAGAACCAGCCTCATGAATGGCTGACCTCTGCAGCTGACAAAAGATGACACACAGAAGCTTTTACAAATATAAAAGGTCTCCTCCTTCATGTTTGGTGTAAAAGCTTCAATGGCTTCATAAGTCCTTTTTTGGTAGCGTCACCAAGTGGCTGATCAACAGGCAAAGACTTGGTTTTGAACCTGCTTTTCTAAGTCACTAAAGCCCTGCGAAGGGGCTGGGTTGTGTAAACATGGCCACCGGAGCTGCATGCACCTTCAGGACAGGACAAAACTCCAGAAAAAAATTTTTTTTAATATTTCTCTCAAAAAATAGAGAAAAATATTTCTCTAAAAAGGTGGCCTTTGTAGGCTCGGCAGGTCACTAAGTCAGCTTATACGCAACATGCAGCAGTATCTTCACCATCGGTCTAGTCACTTCCTCATATCCCTCTGGGCTTCTGTTAGTTTCTGGATTAGATAACGCTTGTCACGACTTTCCTAAAAAAAAAAAAAAAATGAAATAGGTTCAAGAAAACATTTGGTATATTTGGAAACAATATCATCATTTCGACCTAATAAATTACTCATCTGACTCGAGGCCAAGGATCCTTAACGGTGGGCAATTGTAGTGGCCTCCAAGCTGGCCTGCCTCTTTCACTCTTGTCCCCTCCACAGCCCCCTGTCCACAGAGCAACCGATAATCTTTTAAAAATATAAATCAGGCTTCTACTTCACACGCTCCAGTGGCTTCCTATCATTCTCAGAGCTGTACCCAAACCTCTGACCAGAGCCCTCAGGCTGTGCTGGGACCCGGGCTGTAATTCCAGCATCCTCTTGTCTCCTCAGCCAGGCTACCCTCCCTCCTGGCCCCCAGCAGGGCCCGACTCATCCCCTCACTATAGCCTCTGTCTGTTACTCTCATCCACAAGACCTCCCATAATCGGCTCCCTCTCATCATTCAAGTCTCAGCTATACAATGTCACCTCCTCAAAGAGGCCTCCGGCGGCCGCCATCCACACCAGCAGAGGGGCCCACTTGTCCTGCTAACTACCTTGTTTCTATTCTCTTCATACTCTAGCAGTTATCGCCATCAGAATTTATCTTTTTTCCTTAGCAGTCTTATCTCCCTTCTTCACCACTGTAACCCAATACAGTATAATGCTCAATATATATAAAGAAGGAATGAGCAAGTCAGTGAATGAATGATGTTGGAGGAGGCCCAGCCTGAAGGCAGAGTTTTGGGGGAGTGGTGGTGAGAGGGGGCCCTCAGTGTTCCTGGGAAAAGTGCCACTTTCCGTCAGGTGTCCTGGGTCGATGTCCCCAGCCATGACCCTCTGGGCCTGCGTGCTTCCTTACCAGGGACAGCTGCTCTCGGAGCTGGATGACTACCCGCTTGTGTGCTCCAGCCAGGGCGATGAAATAAAACATAACGAGGCTGCAATACAAGGCGGAGAGGTCACTGGGGAGTTTGCTCTATTTGAAGGCCACTAGAAAAACAGCCACCACGTTTTACCTGGAACAGTTTTACTTTAGCTAGAAAAAGAAAACCCACATCTCTCACAAGCAGAGGGCACCAGAAACAGCCAGAGGGCTTTTATTAGGCAGTGGCAGCAGAGACTGAGGTATGCCTTGCTTTTTAAAGTTAATAGTAAAAGTTGTTGATGTTCCCCCTGGCACATGCAACGTGACAGGCAAAGACAAGGAGATGGTCCAGAAAGTCAGCTCAGCTTGGCCTGAACTGGCTGTGATGAACCCTGTAAAATCTCTTTGGCCTCAGTTGCTTCATCTGTGCAATGGGGATAATACCGTAACACCCAAGCCTAAGATAATATAATTCTGAATAAAAGCAATTGGCAATGGTTCCTGTTTTCTATGCAGCCCCAGATCTCACATGGGGGTGGCTGAAGTTATTATCTTTGGGGAGCAGGGCAACTGGAGTGGAGGACAAGGCCCCAGGCAAACAGCAGGTAAGCTCATTCGATGAAGGGGAGGTGGTTTCCTGTCCAATCTCCCCAGATGGGGCTGAGGAAATGGGGGCCATTGGAATCACTGACACCAATGATGCTCTTTTGGAAGTCCCCGTAGCCAAGGACAAGAACGGTTCCCCAAGGTGAGTGAGTGGACACGTTCACAGTACAGGAAAAAAAAAAAAAAAGGAATCAGTGAATAATGAGGATGGGCTGTAATTAGAACAATGTCTAGCACACAGTAAGCTCTCAGTACACATTTGTGATTAGAATTACTTTAACACCCAAAACTAATCACTGTGCAGCAAAGACCCTTGTCATCCTCATGTGTAACACTTGTCATTTACTGAGCCTTTAAGGTCCTCTGCTAAGCGCTTCACGGGCATCACCACATTCCCTGCTTCTCACAACCTTATGAGGCACGGGCCATTCTTATCCTCATTTACCAGGTAAGGAAATTGAGGCTCAGAGAGGATGTGAGATGACCTAAGGCCATACAGCTTATTAATGGTAGAGCCAGGGTTCAAGTGCATGCCCCTACTCTCATAATCTCTCTGCCCAGTAATCCAGTTCCTTTTTCGAAGAGCAAGTGATTTTGTAAATAGTCAGTAATATGAATAATAGGTAACGTTAACTGGGTTTTTATGTCAGACGTTGGGTGAAGCGCCTTACATGTGGGATCTTACTGACCCTGCTCAATGACCCTCTGAAAAAATTACTGTTATTGCACCCGTTTTCAAAATGGGAAACTGAGGCTCAGAGAGCTCAGTAACAGATCGAGGGCGGCAGGGGAGCCCCCACTCCCCCGTGGAGAGCAGCCCAGGGGCCTCAGTGGGAAATACTCGCGTGGACCAGGGGGTTCTCACTCACCAGATGATCATGAAGAAAGGCACTGCGAAGGCTTCGGATGTGACGCCATACAGCAGGGACTGCAGCGAGCTCGGGAAGGTGCCCACCGTGCTGGGGACCACCTCCCAGGTGGTGTTGAAGTTGGTGAATGGCCCACAGGCTTTCGAGGAAGGGATGCTGCCAGGATACAGACCAAGGAGCTGGGTGAGGCTGAGATTCCCTTCTCGGCACACCCACAAGTCTTTGCTCACAGTGACCTGTGAGAAACCGCAAGACCTCGTGGTTTTCTGGAATATCCTGATCAAAAAATGCTTACCCTGAAACTTCATCACGTCTCTAGACCTGACTTTCCGTTTATAGGAAATTCGGGACAGAAGAACAAGTTCAATGATATGGTGAGAAAATAATCAGACAAATCCAGAATGTGGGGATTCGATTCTCCAGTTTCTTAATTCAGAGGTGAGGGAACTGGCCTAGACTCTTTTGAAGAATCAAAGATTAAGAGACTAAAAAGACATAACAATTGAAAAAAATGGGTAAAACTTGAAAGATCCTCATTTTAAAAATAAAGCTATGAGGGGCCGGCCGAATGGCTCAGTTGGTTAAGAGTTTGCTTAAGAGCACGAGCTCTGCG